TTTGTCATATCATTCTGTCCATTTCACTATGGCGGTTGTCTCTTCGAGTCGCACTCATCTATAGATCTTTGCCTATGCTCCTTATCATTCATATACTTGGGTATTGTTGCAGAGGGTCTTAAACCGCTAGTACACGGCCCCAACCCTGCTGACCTCGTCGCCTGCGACATGCCATCTGAAAAAGACGGCGCAGACGCTCTGTCGATTAAAAAAAATGGTGGCCTACGTCGGTTTTCGGATTCTAACGGGTGCTCGCGGCCGATAGGAGGTTCGTGCATCTACCAGGATTGCTTTTTTCCTAAAATGACGATCTCTCATCCGAGTGTTTCATTGATGTTACACTTCTGCAATCTGCTTTTCAGTGCATCGCCATCCCTCCCCCTCCCATCTTCTTCTTTGATTTCGGGCAACTTTTTGTTTTATTTTCTTTATCCTTTTGCCTTCCTCTCACTTTATTTTGTCTCTCGTCTCTCTTAAATTACTCTTTTGCCATTCTATCTCAACTTCCTCTCCAACTTCTCCTTCAACATACCCCCATCTCATGATACCTCTATTCTCCGACATGCTTCTCAATACACATGTTCCACCTGTGATACTTCCTCTTTACCCCACCTGGCAATCCGCAAACCACCACTCCAACGACCGCTTCATTGTTCATTTGCCATGTCGACACACACACACACACACACACCCCTAGGCTACCAGAGTGGCCCGGGGGCCCTTGCCGAGCCAGGCAAAAAAAAAATAAAAAAAATATTTTTTAACTTTATTTTTTATTTAAATTTGGTAAAGAATTTTCGATGTGACCCTGAGGGAAACGTTGTTCAGATTAGTTTTCTGCAGAACATAGTTTTCTTTTGGATGTTTTTGATTATTTTGTTTTTTTCGCTACGACCTTGGTCCTTGCACGGCCGGGCCGTCCGGGAAAATAGGGTGACCCAGGCGGACTGGCCGGTAGCCTAGACGCACACACACACACACACACACACACACGAGTCGGTGAAACAAAACACTCTTCTCGGCACAGTCATGCTTTTTTCTTTGTGCATAGCAAACACACACGCACGCACACACACACACACACACACACACACACACACACACACACACACACACACACACACACACATGCACACACACACTGCGTGCTACAGTTCGTACGGATATGCGGACCAGAGGAACAGGTGGAATTGCCCACAACTCACCTCAGCTCTCTATGACCGCCAGGGGTGAGGTCCCACTTTCCCAGGTGCCTCCTGCCTGAGCCTCCATCTTTGAAAGATATGATGGTAATCTTGTGCAGTTCTTGCCTGTAGTTGGGCTGGCATAGCAAAAGGGTCCCACCATACGATCTCCTCACGCCTCTGCTCCTCATCCCTAGAAAAAACTGCCCTTTTCTGCATCCTGAAAACCCGCGCTACCTCTGGAACTTGCGCTTCTCAAGATTGTCGCAGGAATGACGTACAGGCCTCACAGGATTACATCTACGGCTTCGTGAACAGATCCAACGGTCAGAATCTGGTGCTAGATATCGGCTTTCACTAGTGCGATGTATTTTCAAACCTAGAAACAGTCGTCGCTCAGTCATTGAGAAAGAAAAGGACATACACAGCTCATTTGGGTCCATCCACCCCTCCCCCCGCCTCCTGCCCCCTGCCCCTATGCGTCCCTACCACACACAGGGATAAGAGCCCGTGTGTGTTGTGGGTGCACCAGATTGGGTCTGGTCGACGGCCCACGGTCTTATTCGTGGACAGCACGACATGCCGGAAACCAGGCCCAGCATCCTTTGTGTGTGCTGGGAACCGGGCCCGGCTTGCCTTACAAAGAAAATTCCCAGCTCCATCCCCATTATTGACTGCTAAGTTCTAACCTTCTTTCTGCCCTTGGGTCCCTGTATCAGGGGCCTCACATCTGCCTGTTGTTCTCCATGTTGCATGTCATTGAATGATGGGCTTGTCTTCTTATTCTTCCCCCCCTGGCTGCATGTTTTCTCTATTTCACTGTATATAAAGCTCTGTATTCCACCTCGGTCTGGCCCGGCGATATACTAAACACACACACACACACACACACACACACACACACACGCAATCAACCCTTGCCGAAGTCGTCTCTCTATGCTTTGACAGACCTCGACACTACCAAAGAAGATTGGATTAAGCTCCCCGAATCTGGCTGTTTTTTATGCACAGATGCAGAAACACCAACTGAACTGGGCCCCGACCTTTTTTTCTTTTTTCTAATAAAAAAATTGGAAGCTTTCCATTATTAAAAAGGAAAACAATAAAATAAAAAGGGAACCCTGCCCACCGTCCCCCTTACATGATAAATTGCAGCCACACGGGATAGTCCACGGCCCTGATCCCATTAGCAAAGAGCATCGGATTGAATGCCTGAATCTGGACGTGTTTGAGGACAGGATCTGGAAATCGAGAAAGAACTGCTTTTCTGTATCTCTGCATAAAACATAGCCAGATTCAGGATTTCTATCCTATCCCCCTTCGCCAGTGGGCCCATGCTCCAGGCTCTCCGGCCTGGTTTATCCCCAGAAACAGCACAACCGATCCATTAAGCTCTTCCAATCAAGAGCCAGCAATCCACCCTTCGTATGGGCTACAGACTTGCAGTGCATCTTTCCACTTTCTAGCGGAGGATTGATTCTCATTTTACACATTCGGTGAGACGTGGAGCGCAAGGCCCCATGGGTATATCCTCCTAACGGAGTTGCAGTGTTTTCCGTAGCAAAGAATCCCCACCAATACATCCTAACATTGTGCCCGTTAACGAGTCACAGTTTTAGGAAATGTACGGGCCACTGCAGGATCGCCCAAATTCATCCAGCTAGAAATGTTTCTACTCTATTTTTTTTCCAAGCCCCGTAGCCGGGCCAACTACAGGTGGTTTATACTGCAAAACAAGCCGCCCGACAGACCGCAACGAACCCGCCCCCCCCCCCGGGACCCTCTTGCTGCGTGACTGGGTGTGTTGCTAGGAAGCTTCCCGACCAGCATCAGTATCCAAGGGGAGGGGGGGGGTGGGTCGGTCGTATCAGTCCCCCTCTTTTTTTATAGGCTACTAGGACCGCAAAGGTAAGGCTGTGTCCCCTTTTCGGCAGACGTTTCTCTGTCCTCGAACTCATGCTTGCCGGTGACAAGCAACTGGACTGATGCTGATGCTGCCGAGAATAGAAGGGGCTTTGTGTTTTTTTTCTTGGTGGAAAAAAAAAAAAAAAAGTCATCACGAGTCAGAAGCGGAACGTGGAAAGAGCACATCGTGAAGAAAAGTATTGTGCAGCCCGACGCATCGGCGGCATTCATTCTCGCGAATGGTTGGTTGGGTGCGAATCTGCACAGCGAATACGAAAGTAACGTCCCGCGCCAAACGCTTGCTGTTTTTTTTTTTTTTGTTTTTTTTTTTTGGGAAAAACGCTTGTTTCTCTCAGGAGGGACATGACAGGCATCAATCATATTCACGAGTGTCTTGTTAGAAAATAGGCCCAAAGTTGCCAAACATCTTTTTTTTTTTTTTTTTTTTTTTTTTTTTTTTAGCTGCCAAACATCTTAAATAATAAATCCCAACTGTTTTTTTTCATTCTTAAACCATTGTTTTGAATTGTCCTTGGGCAGAGAATGTATCACGCTGTTGAGTTTTCTCAAGTCAATGGTGGCTGGTGGGACAAAACCCCTTACTTGCAGAAAAGAAAAAGGGACATGTGAGGCCACACACTCACAATGGAGACTTTTTGCTAAATGTATGTAACAGCAATTACGGCCAAAGCTGGATGAATCTTATCTGACGTGTCAGAGGGCATGACCTCATCTGTCCCTGTGAAGGCAACACAAAATGACATAATCACACTTGCCATTCGGTGAATGCATCTGGACACAATACGTATTTCCTGCCCTTCGACCTGCACTGATGGATGAGCGGGAAAGAAGAAAAGCATCAAAGAGCATACTCACAGTAGCACTTTCCGGAATGCACCTGACTGCAATTACTGCTGGACATGGATGAATCTGACCGCAATCACGTCCAGAGCTAAATGGAAAAAGTCCTCGTGTGAGTATGCCCTGAGAAGGGCATTTTCCATCTGGACCCATGTGGAATGTCATTATGGTTGAAATGTGGAAGAAATTGCATTCAGAATAACCAGGGATAGAATTTGGGTGGACAATGTCATTGCAGATAAATCTGGAAATGATTTCCTCTCTCTCTCTCTCTCCCCAATGCAAATCTTCTACCGTGTCATTAGATCCCACCTGCTCCTCTCTCTCTCTCTCTCTCTCTCTCTCTCTCTCTCTCTCTCTCTCTCTCTCTCNCCCCCCCCCCCCCCCCCCCCCCCCCCCCCCCCCCCCCCCCCCCCCCCCCCCCCCCCCCCCCCCCCCCCCCCTTCCCCCCCCCCCCCCCCCGCCGGGCCAACAGTAATATCCCCACTACCTAACTTGAGAGAATGTCACATGAGATCCCACCTACTCCTCAACATCTTTTCCCCCTCGTTTTTCTCCCCCTCTTCCGTTCTCTCTCATTTCAGTTGGTCATCCTTGCTCTCGCTTCCCTCTTCTCGCCACTCTGGGTCAGAATCAGACCCGCCAACTTTTTATTTATTTATTTATTTTTTTGGAAGAAACACCCCTTCCAGTGATAGTGGTGCTGGTAGGGGCAGACACAACTCGCACCTTGGGAGAGGGCTCCATCTATTGGTGGGGAGCATCAGACCCGCCACCCACTAGAAGTGGGGAGCATCTTTCGGTACCAAAAGAAAGATACAGTCGGGCGTTACGTTACAAGTGATTCATCGCTCGACAAAAGAAAAACAAAAACAAAAAACAAAAGTGATTCTCGTTCATTTGCGACTTCTTTTTTTTTTTTTTTTTTTTTTTTGAGTCATTTGCGACTTCAGGCAAGGGCAACGTACTCGATGGACTGACAATCGTGCATACGAAACCCTTTCCAAAAATAAAAAAGAAAAGAAAATGCAAGACTGACTCAGGTGCAAAGTTCGAATTTCAGCGCATCATCCTAGGCCTCAAGTGTGTTTAAGATGAAATGATTTGCACACTGCACTGGCTGCAAGCAATGCAAAAACAGCAATAAAGTTCGATCGCACATAATAGATACATTATAGAAGTCCATAAAACAAGCATTAGAACAGCCGCCGTCTGCATTCCCAGGAACAAGAATGTGAATAAAAGCTCATCTCCTTGCTGTTGCTTGGTCCAGAGTAATTGCCAAGGTGCGCCTCTCGGGCCCAACGATCCACTGATCTGTGTTTCAGCAGCCGAAGAAGCTAATAAGATTGCCTTGCCCGCTATCAGCTCGTTGTCAACACACACACAATGCTTCTGCGAACATCGTTTCTTTTGCGTGCTGCCGTAAAGCTATCCATTAACACACTTCTGCGCGGGAATCAATCCCAAGGACTCAAAGTCAACGGCTCAGCTTACCCGTCACATTGCGACTTCTCTCGGTGCTCTTCCCTGAGCACCGTGCACATGAGTCGAGATGGATGCACTCCGCACATAACGCACACTCGCCACTCCGCCTACGAGTCAGCTGCAATCCTCACCGTGCATAGGCATTGAGATGGATCATGCAGTCCTCACATAATGTGCAATCGGCCGCCGCACTCCTCACCGTGCATACGAGTCGAGATGGATGCACTCTGCACATAACGCTCACTCGCCGCTCAGCCTACGAGTCAGCTGCACTCCTCACCGTGCATAGGCGTTGAGATGGATCATGCAGTCCTCACATAATGCGCAATTGGCCTACGCGTCTGCTGCACTCCTCACCGTGCATATGAGTCGAGATGGATGCACTCTGCACATAACGCGGACTCGCCGCTCAGCCTACGAGTCAGCTGCACTCGTCACTGTGCATAGGCATTGAGATGGATCATGCACTCCTCAGTGTCCTCACATAACGCGAAATCGGCCTACCAGTCCGCTGCACTCCTCACCGTGCATACGGGCTCGCCGAGATAATGCACTCCTAACATACCACGCAACTGACCTACCACTCACCGCAAGGAACTGATGACAGGGATCGTTCTGCATGCAAACAGTGATTCAAGGAAACCCTGTACATTGTCAGAGACAGAGCACAAAACACGAGCTGGAATTCCGATGTAGGGACTTCATCGGAATGCACGCTGCACTCAAATGTTGCGTCGACAGATGTGAACACTGTGCCTCTTCACACCCCACGCCGCGGGACCCCTTGGCCCCCCAACAACCGTCAAACATCCTAGCCCCAACACCATGTCGCCATTGAACCAGCGATGCCTGCCAAGGACTGTAGCCACCCGTCCTCCGTCCTCCAGAACGTCCCAACACCAGGCAACGATTCAATCAGCAATGCCTGACTGTGTATCAAGGACTGTTTTCCGTCAAAAGCGTGTCAGTGCACTCTTTCACTCCTCACATGATGCCTTCTGT